TCCTACCCCATTCATTAATTATATGTGTGTATGTCATTAAGCAACTCTAATTAGATCATATTTATTGCTCACGTGGCATCACTACATTTTTAAATCTGGACTAAAGTAATAATTGTGAGATGGGTATATCACATGTGTATCATAATTTGAAATAGTATACATATATGTCACATCATTCATTATTACATTAATTTTATATTTTCATTATTCACACAACAAATATTATAACTCTTCTTTCTGGACACTAAATATGATCACATGTGCAACCATGCGGTTCTCTTTTCTTTCTTTATTTCCTTTTTACATTAATCTATTCATTAAGAACTACATGTATAAAATTTTAATGCTTAGAAACGAGGTCTAATTTTGTTAGTTTAAAAAGAATTGTATTGTGTAAATTAAAATTGAAGTTGGGGTGGTGTAAGATTGTTTAGGGTTTTTGGTTAAGAGGGTGCACATGGCTTGGTGGGACTCTTTATCGCTTACTACTTGTGTGTTTATGACCAAATATGGCATCAATTGGTAACTGATATTATCCCACTATCTTGGGTTGTCTCATACAAATTCATATTTTATGTCCCCCACACCAACACAATCTCTTTGCGTATCTCATCCATTGGTGGTAGCTACTTCTAGTTAACGAGGTAGTTGTTGGAAAGTATTGGATACGCAATGTTTGGAAGTGGTTCTATCTCATACACCTAATTCCACTGTGCTTTTATTGAACTGGTAGTTGATACCCAAGGATGTAATATTAAGAATGATTGGCCTAAGCTAGCTTTTTATACCATATTCAAACCCTAAATCAATGTAACTAACCTCAACTAGTAAAGGGAAGGTGTAACCCTCCAAACCCATCGCTAACGGATCACTAGTAAGTAGTCTTTCTTGGACTTTTCCTTCTAGATTTCTGCTCAAGGTTTTAAGATGCGTCTATTAGGGAGAGGTTTCTACACTCTCTTGGGGCACAACATCCTCGCTGGCACACTTCGTTCCCCTCTTCAACCGATGTCCTCATTCCCCTCTCCAACACTTTGTTCTCCTCTCCAACACTTTGTTCTTCTCTCCAACTGATGTCCTAGCTAGTTCCCCTCTCCAACCGATGTCCTCATTCTCCACTTCATTCTTCTCTCCAACTGATGTCCTAGCTAGTTCCCCTCTCCAACCGACATCCTTCTAGACTTCCCCTCAAGGTTTTAAAACGTGCCTACTAGAGAGACGTTTCTACACTCTTAGGGCACAACGTCCTCGCTAAGGGCTTTCTCTTAAAATCTTAAAACGCGCTTACTAGAGAGCGATTTTCATACTCTTTGGGCACATTTCATTCCCCTTCCACCCGATGTGAGATCACTTTTCACTTTCCACCTTACTAACTTTGAATTCTATGCACTCAAAACATGATGATCTTAGTTCAAAATTTGTATCATCAATCCTCATTTCTCCTCATCTTCGTATCATTTAGGAGAAACAATTAATTTATACATTCAATGTTGCAATTTCTACACTCTTATTTTTTAAAATCAAATAAAAATCTGTGTAAACTCACAAGTAATTTCAATAAGTTAGCTCGAGATATATAAACTAAAAATTAAGAATTATTGAAGAAGTTGAAGAGAGAAAAAGAAAAATAGTCAAGAAATGGCATATATATGTGTGAGAGTGGTCCTTAAAGATTATGATTTTGGTTCACATGGTGATGGGGGTTAAGGAATAGATAAGTGATGAAGGAGCTAATCACGCCAAAAAGCTTAGCATATCAGATCCTCATCTTTTGTTTCCGATCTTATACAAACCAAAGTTATTAATATTATGTTAATGCAATAATTAATTACAACCCTTTAATCACCACATTCATTTATATTCAACAACAATGGCGTTTTCATTTTTCTCTTCTTTCACATTTCATCTCTACAATAAAAAAAAATAAAAAAAAAATAAAAGGAAAAAAGGAAATTGTTTGAATGACAGAATTGAGAGAGGGTTATGAGTTTTACCGACTGGGCCCACACCCTAAACCAATTTAATTAATAATAGGATCACACATCTATTTCAATGCTTTATAAAGCTTTAGGGCTTTGATAAACATAGCTTAACAAACATGTCTACCTCATCTTTCACAATTATTTTTGCCTTAAATCTTTTATTGCCCCTAAACATTCACTTATTCTAACTATTTCTAAACTACCACAACTCTTACGCCAAGTTTGATTTCCAAAATAAATGTTTTTTTAACCTTATGGAGTATGAAACCAACAACATATTCGTTAATTCTAGATATGATTTGATACCCATTTTAAGTTTAATGCTTTTTGTTTACATAACAAATTCCAATTACTTTGTAAACTAAAAACCAAAACATAAAATCATTATTATGCCCTAAACTTGTAACAATCCAAACCCACCGTTAGTAGATATTGTCTGTTTTCGCCTGTTACGTATCGCTGTCAGTCTCATTGTTTTAAAACACATCGGGTAGGTATCACCGTGAGGCTGATAATGATATGTAACGGGTCAAAGCGGACAATATTTGTTAGTGATGGGTTTGAGCCGTTATAAATGGTTGGAGAGGAGAAGAAACACTCCTAATAAGGGTGTGAAAACTTTTCCCTTACAAACGCATTTTAAAAGTGTGAGGTTGGCAACGATAAGTAACCGGCAAAGGGAACAATATGTGTTGACAGTAAACTTAGGTCATTACAGAACTCTTCTAGAATTAATATGAATAAAGAATATGAATTTTTTTTTTTTTTTTTTCCTTGTAGAAAAACAAAGACTTGGGTTCAGATTTATTTTCGGTATAATTAGATATGGTCGTCCTTAAAGGTTGCTGCTTCCCAATTGCATATTATTTTGTGTCAAAAAAGAGAGAGAACATAGAGAAGAGCATTTGCTAAATTTGATGGAAATTTTAGGTGAAAGGGTCTGAATCATGAGGCCAAAGGTTACATCCAAAGCACTCGCATTCAGCCACCATACCCACACCAAACCATGCAAAATTTCGATGCATTCAAACTCTTTCCCATACACACACACGGTTTTTGTGCCCTAATTTGAATCCAAATGCAAATTTTGCTTCATCTAACTTTCATGTCCCAAAAATTTTCAAGTTCATTGTTGGTAGATATTGTCTACTTTGGTCCGTTATGTATCGTTCTTAGCCTCATGGTTATAAAATGAATCCGTCTATTAGTGAGAGGTCTCCACACCCTTTTTAAAGAATGGTTCGTTCTCTTTTTCAACCAATATAAAACCTCAAAGTATAAAATTATTAAACAAATTAGCACAAATCCTAATAATTAATGTGACCGATCTTTATAGTAATAAAGATTGGTTTAATATCTCTTCCGTGGTTGGACTATGAAAATATTTGTTTTAGTTTTTGATAATGTTCTTGTCTGTACTTTATTTCTTGTTTTTCACTTCTAGAAACGTTTATATAATTGGCTACATTTAAACCTCCGACCTTAAAGAAAGAAATACATATAAATTACCGATAAATTTTGGTCATGTTGGTTGCTTTGTAATTTTTTGGCATCCATAGTTTATAGTAGGTTATTTTACAACGGTACGAATAAATGTTTATATGGTCCAATATAGTCGGCTTACACTACTAACTCGTAATAAATAGACAATTTTAAGCATATTAAAGGGAAAAAAAGAGGCTTTAGATGCACTTTTTTCTTTTTGGTAAAACTATAATTTGGAGCAAAGGACTTTAATTGTTGAATGCATGTTATTAATTGAATCTTTTTTAAATTTGCTAATTAATTGACTAATTATCAATAATTGATTAGTATTATTATATACTTTATTGTAAAAGTCGTTTAATGATTAATATTTCTGTCTTCTAAAAGTAAGTTCGGTTGCAGCTAGCTAATTTGATGTTGATAAGGATGTTGTTGTATATATTGTTTTTTCTTTTTTTAAATCAACTTTTAGAATTTCTTAAACTACTTTTCTTAATGGGCCGATGATAAAGTCAGCCCAAATTCTAATAGATCCATCCTCTGAGTTGGGCTTGGGGTCCGTGGATTATTGGATTTTGGGCAGCCCATCAAGTACCTTCCTCTTATGAAAACTCTTGGAGACTCGGAAATTCAATTAAAAAGAAGTTGCATCTACAAATAGGAGACTCAACTTGGAGTCCAACCGGTCATGCTTGTCTAAGTTGTGTTACATGTGGCCGTCTGTCGAATGTTTCGATCATGCTTGTATAGGACGTGTTGTCCATCACCACATGTCCGTTCCAAAATCTTTTTACTTACTTTCATGTTATATGTATCTTTACTGTTCTTGTTGTGTTAGTTTGAGCGTATATGAACAGTTACCAAAATCATATCTACACCCGTTAGAACTAAAATGACCCAAAATGTGCTATAGGGAACGAGACTAGTTGTCAATTCTTCTCACCAATGTTATATGCTATCATAGCCGTTCTTGTTCTTATTCGCTTTTAGCCTATAACATTATATTTTTTTAAAATTATTTTCAACTTATTTTTTGCTCATATTTTCTAAAACATTTCTCTCAAACGTGACTCAGACTGGAACATACGCCATGTTTATGAAATCTGAATTTCACATAATTGACTTGTTCACTAGGTTAGAACGAGTGTCACCCAATCTATGTCCTTCTATTGCAACAGTACGATTGTGACACCTAGCGTCACAGTGACATGACTAGTTAAAAGGCCGCTAGTTGGATTGTTGAGAATTATTGAAGTTTCATATGGTACCTAGCATATTTAAATTTTAATATAAGAAAAAAAGGATATAACTCATTTGGTCAAAGTATTAATATAAATTAATAGATAATACGTTGGAATTCCAAAATTGTGAGCTTTTAAAATTCTAAAAAAATCCAATGGGCATGTGAGGAAGTCTTGAAAAAGATGCACGAAGAAGATGCTGAAATATAATTTATTTATTTATAATGAAATATAACAATTCCTAAAAATAAATCAACCAATTATTTCATTAGAGAGTGAAAAAGAAAAAATGTGAAGAAGAGACGAACTAAATTAGGTAATAATGAGGTTGTTGGATCCGACAGTCCCTTTTGGTTTCAGTAAAACTTTAAGCTGAGCCATCTGACACTCCAATTTGGCATCTGAATCTCTACTTTTCAATCCCTCCGCCGTCCGTACCTTCCACCGCCGGGAAATGTGGTGGTGGTGGTTCCGAACACGGTTTTTACTTCAGCAAGCTTCATTTGTAGTCTCTCTTCACGCAAAGCCTGAGCCAAGCTCAGCATGTTGCGCTCCTCTTGAATCTCCTTGTGGGGTTGATGAGGTGAAATGTGTGTAGCAAGCTCATGACACACTCCTTCCATGGCTTTCCTTTGCTTCCTCTCTTCATTCAGCTCCTTGAGCAGCCTCTTCGCCAAAGACTCGACCTTTTTACGAGCCTTCCGCTCGTAGCGAAGCTGGGTTTGGAGCTCCAGGATGTGGTTGAGCGCAAGATGAAGCTCCGAATCCATTCTCCTTTTGAATGGGTTGGTGTTGGTGGTGGAGGATTCATGAGGAGGAGTGTTAATATAAAATGGGTTTTCGTAAAGTTTCCATCTTGGGGAAGTATCATTGTTCATCATCATCTCTTCCTCCATGTCTTCACCTCTTTCTTCTTCTTCTTCTTCTTCTTCTTCTTCTTTAATGGTACTATGTTTACTTTCTTATTCTTTTTCTTGTTTTGCGAAGAAAGAAGGTAATGGGTTGTAATGGTAGGTCCATTGGCTCCATGTCACATGCACCTCTTCCTTATTAATTTCACAATGCACCAACATCTTTTTTTTCTCTCTCTTAATAATTTTTTAATAATTTTATATGCATATACTTCGTTAGTATGAACACAAAGAATAGAGGAGAAAAAATGTATATTGGGTCGGATGATTTCAGAAAGTACATATTCAAACTATGGATTAGTTTACTTATAACCTTTATTATATATATAACTATGTAGTGTAGTTCTATTAATTTTTTAATATAAATAGTCGACCATTAAGATAGACCGGGCAACAAAGTTAGGGTGAGAATGCTTGCTAATTCTAAAATTGAAGATTTGATAGTAGAGGACCTTATGATTTTAATTATTCAAAATTAATTTTTATAGTATGAATCCTCATATTTTCTTCTTTATTGGCAACCAATGAAGTCTATTGTTACTATCGTGAGCATCTAAACTTCATAAACTAATCCGAAGACCACGGTCACATGACGATTCTAATGACATTGGCTGGTTAGCAAGTTATACAACAACCATCATGGGTAACAACCCCGCCAACCATACTACTATAGTGACCCGTGTTCGGTTTTTTTTTTTTTTTTTTTTTTTTTTTTTTTTTTTTTTTTTTTTTTTTTTTTTTTTTTTTTTT